GTTGCATTGTCTGTGGTAATTCCGCACAGACTTTCTTTTGAAATCTTCCATTCCTGGAGCATATTTTCAAACATCTCGGAGATGTTTTCTGAGGTGTGGTCTTCAGGAAAAAAATGAGACTCCAAACAGTGGCACTTAAGCTGCCAATCTGAGGAGATGTAGTGGACTGTAAAACTTATGAATGGCTCCGCACCTCCACTACTGCTGGTCCACAGGTCTGTGGTGGCTGAAATCCACACAGCTTCCTTCAGCTGTTCTTCAACACTGGCCCTTACCTCTTTGTACATGCGAGGGATTTCATTGGTGGAGAAGTATGTTTTTGATGGTACCTTGTACATTGGGACTGCCTTGTTCATCAGGTGGAGAAAGCCAGGTTTTTCCACTACTCTAAAGGGCCTGCCCCTGTGACGTAATTTCAACATGGCAACTTGGTTTGTTTGTAGTTTGTTTACCGTTCGAAAAAAGAATATTGCTTTGAATGTACTAAAATATTTTATAAAGCTTTTAATGTGGTTTGACTAGTTCGTGTTTCTTGTTCGTCTCTCGGAAAAATCTCCATTTCGCCATTTTCTCCATTTGGAAAACTCCAAATCTGCCAAAATATAAAGCAACAACACACAGCAACGTGTTCATGGAGGCAGCCATGTTTGTTCCGAGATGTGGGTAGCTCGAACGGGAGATTGTCGGACTTGATGTCACTCAACTCGGAATTTCCGAGTTCCGAGAGAAAAACGAACGCACCATTAGAATCCGACTCGGAATACGAGTTCCCAGGGCAAATGAGACATTTCAGGGATTTTGAGTCATTCTGCATTGCAGATGGGTTAATTGCGTAAAAAATTTTAATCTGATTAATCAAGATGATGGATTAATCCGCATTAACCCGTTTTTAAGCTGATTTTGGCATCGTTTTCATTTCTTTCTTGTGTTCTATCTCGCATCTCGTGTTATTTTGTTCTATGTTTCTGACCCTGCAATATAAAAAGGCACAATGCACATAAAAAAGTTAAAAAGCTTTTATGCCCTTACGTAAGTAATCTTGGTAAATGACATTTCAAAGTAAGCTATGTTGTGCTCAAGAACAACATAAGACAGAAAAACTATACTTTTCTGTGACAACTGGGGGGTATTCCATGAAGCAGGCTTAAGGTTAAGTCTGACTTATTTCGACAAGTTAGTCTTACTTAAGCGAGAGTTCCGTTCCACCAACGTGTCTTAAATAAATCCCCGCTGAATTCCGTTCTTTGTACGTCGCTTGACACATCCGAGATGAATTGACACATCTAAGATGAGATCATCGCGCTAATTACGATGCGGCTAATTTGGTTCTTCAAGCACACCTGTTGTTGATGAT